AGCCCTGAAAACAAAAGGTACATGCAAAACAAAACTGACATTTAGACCATTGAACAAGCTTTTGAATAAATAAGGACGTTGTCTTTTGATGATTTGGAGAGAATCATTTTATAACGTTGTGTCCTCACATGACATGATGATATTTGAAGCTGTTTGTGGACACCTTCTTCTAATTAAGGGTTTTGGCTACACCCATTACAAACAGGAGCATAAAATCATATCGCCAAATAATCTCCTTAGACAAACATTTACAGTAGAATGGGGCCCTTTTTGTTTCAGCTTGACAGTGCTCCATAAAAATTGATTTCTAATCTGGTCTGGTGTGGAAAAAAATTGAAAACTTTAAACCTAACTATGAAATGTATAATTGAACTTTTTCATATGTTTCACTCATAATCGGATCATTTCTTGTGCACAGCTAGTCACAGCACAAGTCAGCTGTCCCAGAAGCTGAAGACGACATACAAGGCCTCCACTAGCAAGGTATGATTGTATCTGTGGAGTAAAACTCTGTTACCGTTGTTCAAGCTCAGAATATTTCTCTCGGAATCACTAATCTCTAAAAAACATAACATCTCAGTGCAAAGTCCTGTTGTTTGTAGTCGGTTTACAGACTTTGTTGCTTAACATATGTAGATACTTTAGAAGTGAACAAGCTAGGGTTGTCACAATACCGAAGTGTTACCGATACCAGTGAAATCTGATGATTAAAACCAAAAGAGTTCCATTATTGGCACTCCTTTGTTTAGTTTTCACTATTATTAAAGGGCCAGTTCACCCAAAATGAGAATTCATCTTTTACTCACTCTCATTACCAATTTTGGGTTCTTAGACTTTCAAAGGAGGGACAGAAATCTCTCAGGATTCATTGATTTCTTAATTTGTGTTTCGAGATTAACTAAATGAGGAGTAAACGATTTCATTTTTTGGTTAAATTATCTCTGGAAGAAATTGATTTAAAATAACGGCATGTACCATCATGGCATGCAACTGGCATGGAATTGCAATAAAACGATTTAGAAATTGTGTAATTGACACTATTGAATAACTGGTAAAATGGTATCTTTTCAGTTTTGTTATTGACTTCTGTGTGACCTCTCTAGAGCAGGTTTAGGTGGTTATGTAAGCGTCTGTGTTTTGTTTCAGTGTTGCATTTTCGTAGTGCTGAATTGTTTGCTCTGTGTGTTCAGTTAAACAAACTACCTCCAGTTTCACATACAGTTTTCATGCAGTTACTTACCGATTTATCATACTATATGTAAAAATATGCAACGTATCTCATGCATTGATCTGACAGTGACAGTTCAATGCATAAGTTACAGAATTTCATAATGTATTATAATATGTAACGCCCAGTTTATTACACATTCCTTTATTACTTAAAACTCATTTCCTGACTTTCTTGATGTTTTCACCAAATCCAGATTGCACCACTTCTGACACATTTTTCATACTTCATTACATTTGTGTGATTCGAAATAGTGTCTTGTACCAAAATACTTGAACTGTGCTCAGATTGTAGGTTTCCCAGTGCATCTCATGTACAAAATCATAAATTAAATCCAATGCAAAAAATGATTAACTAGTAACTCATCTGCTCGCTGAGTAACTTTGGTAGCTTTAATAAAGACGAATCTATATAGTTTATGCATATACAGCGTTAGCAGCTCAGCAGCATCTTTATTTATTTATTTATTTTGCTGAGTAGTTACCATATTAAATGGTTACACCCCTAATCTTTAGTG